GACCCCCTTGTCCTCCTCCATGGGTCTTCCATCAGTGCACGACCTTCGTATGGGGACCTCACGTCAGTCGGTCATCCTTATGATATGTGTGACTCCGTGCCATACCGTAACACATGCGCTAATAATCGGAACCTTCCATACATTAGAAATGCCGACTAGACCCGTCTCGAAGTCGCCCAACCTAGTCCAAGCGAGCGTGTCCACTCGCGAGATCGCCTCCGACGATGAGGCGACTTCGGAAGAGTCGGATGGACGTTTGGACGGTCACGTCGACAGCGACGGAGCGCATTCGGAGTCGGGCGACGACGTAGTCCTCGATGTCGAACCTGGCCAGCTAGCCAAGATGCTCCGCGAGGAGGTAAGCTTCCTTGAAATCGTTCGGTTTGTTAGAGCAGTCGTGTTCGGGCTTGAAGACGACCCGACCGTTCGCGGAGCACTTACCGTCGTGCTTGAAGACGATAAGTCCGTTGTCGTGACCAGCAGCGAACACGTTGTGCCATCGATCAGGTACTACCGAGACATCTAAAAGCTGATCTTCGACGTTTTCAGGCACCTGTCTGGGCTGAGAAGAAGTCAGACAAGGGGAAAGGAAAGGCCATCGACAGCGCAACGGCCCAGCTTGCTGCAAGGACCCCCGTGCCTCGGACTGGCAATGGTAAATATACTAACCAGAAGTTTCAGCTCGCAGCTGTTGACCTCGACAACTCGGGTCCATCAGACTCTGAGCTTGCGCCCGACGAGGAGGAGGTGGAAGCTCAGGAGCTCCCTGCGGAGCATTACACAGTCCATGTCGACGACGACGACGACGTGGCGATGGAAGAAGCCACTGGCGCCTTCCCTGGTCCTGGGAAGACCAAGGCGAACAAGGTTTGCGCCCGTATTGTCACTCTTTAAACCTTATACATTAATAACTATCCACAGACACGTTCCACCCGTGGTCCCAAGGCGCAGCAGCTCCTTGTCGAAGTACGTCACGGTCTCCAGCGTGTCTAGCATACCACTGTTCCACTCACCACCCCCCTTACTCCAGCAACCCGCCTGGAAGGACATCATCCTTGCCGCGCTCGCCCAGTCACCCGGGTCTGGGTCCGAGACCTCGTCAATTGTGTTGCCTCAAAACTGGGACTTCACTGCATTCGCGGAGGCAGTCCACGCCCATGTATTGGGGCAAGTATTTCAGCCCCCCGCCCTCCACATCACTACCACGTCCACTCCTTCCATTCCCTCACATCTCCGCGTCACTGGCAAGACTCCCCCGGTCGCTTCGTCGTCGCGTGACAAGGAGACGAAGACGCACACTCCCTCTTCCCCTCCTCCGAGCGACCATGACAGTGGTGACGAATCTCTCCCCGATGTGGCCACACCGGCCCCTGAGCACGCACCCTCTTTCGCCAAGGTGCCACCTGCCGAGGGAGGCCCGCGTGCGGCCGAAGACTACGCTATTGTCCCCCCGACGCAACCGGGAGGGATACTGCAATTAATGACTCAAGACGAAGATATTCGCGCCACGGTGAGGCAGGCCATTGTGGACCTTGATGTCTGGCTGTCGTTCCATAACAGCTTCCCCGACGCTTTGACACGCTCCCGAGAGATTGCAAACCTCTTGGCACAGGCCGCTCACTCTCTCGGACTTCCCGGCCTTCAGACACGCCTTCTCACAGACTCAGATTTCACTCGTAGTCTTTCCGGGCTGGTAAGTCGTTGGTCGAATGTCCATCACTACAGATCTGTCGCGGCCGCCTCTGCTACAATCCCTACGTCCACTCCAGCCTTGTCGTTCAGATCACTAATTTTGTCTTGATGTAGGTCAAGCAGCGTATGAGCACCTTCCGCGGCAACATCAAGAAGCTCGCGGACTCCAACGTGGTCGCCTTCTTCGCTCTCACCCCGGGTGAGTGCCAGGAGAAGGTCGAGTGGCTTTTCGATCATCTTGCATACATCTATCCGTTCACATATACCGTACGTCGCATCTTTTCTTCTTTTTACAGTGCTCATAACGTTCTACCAACAGGAAGAGAAGAAGAGTGTGACATGGTCGGGTCCGAATAAAGGACCCATCGTGCGTCATCTCCTGCACCACGCCTTCTGCAATGGTCCCACCTCTATTGCCGCCAAGAATCCCGATCTGTTTGACTCGTCTATGACACAGATGCCCCAAGCGAAGGAGAAGGAGATGCCGATGGCTAGTGGTA